GTCCAACTCTATTCTTTCACATGTGGATAGCTAGTTGTCCCAGTACCATTTGTTGAAAAAATTATTCTTTCTCCACTGAATGTTCTTAGCAACCTTGTTGAAAATCAATTAGTAATAAATGTAAGGGCTTATTTCTGGATACTCAATTCTGTTCCATTGCCAATCCATAATCACTGTCTCAATTACTGAAACTGTAAGTTTTGAAACCCAGTAGCATGAGAGCTCTTTGTTCTTTTCCATCATTGTTTTTGCTTTTTGGATCCTCTTATATTTCCATATGAATCTTAGGATCAGCTGATCAATTTCTTCAAAAGCAGCTGGGATTTTGATAGGGATTATGTTGAATCTGTAGATCAAATTAGGGAGTATTGCCATTCTAACAATAATTTTGTCTTCCAATCCATGAATATGGGACGCCTTTCCATTTATTTAAATCTTTCTTTAATGTTTTGTAGTTTTCAGTGTACAAGTCTTACTTAAAAAATTTTTTTTTGATATCACAAATGGAATCGCATTCTTAATTTCATAGATCACTAGTGTATAGAAATAAATTAATTTTTGGTATGAATCTTGTATCCTGAAAACTTGTTGAACATATGAAACTGGATTTTTATATGAAATCTAACTTGCGTCTGTCTCTCCATTAAACAAAACCTCATTCACAGCATGCAAAGGGTGATGCAAAAATAGTTTATTATGATATAGTTTATGTAAAGTTAGGTAGTATTTACAAAATAGAAATGACCAGCTATATCCATAGGAATCTAGCATGTCACACAAAGGAATAAATATTCTGACAAAGTAATACTTCAGTTGTAGTGAAAGTGGACCAGAAACTTTTTTTTAAAGCCTCAAACTGAACCATAAAATTCTGAATTGTCAAAGCAGCAGCCGCACTGACCAGGCTCTCCTCTTCCAGACCCCGCAGCCTGACAGGTGAAGGCCCGCTCTGAGGGCGTCTGCTTCCGGGGCTGCCTCCGTCCAGGTCTCTGGTGGAGCCTCGATGTGTGTGGTCACCTGGGCCGCTTAGGCCCCTGCTCTCTTCCGCATGTGACTTTTAGTCGGGTGAACATTATCATTTAGCATTAGTACAGAAATTAAACACCAGTTAAAATTACACAAGTTTGTTCTTTAAACATGTATCACCTAACTGTTGACATAATTAGCAGTGACAGAAGTGACTGCTGCGATTTATTTCCAAACTCCTTAGCTCAAAAATTATGTACAGTTTTCACTTTGTTCGTGTATCAGCTCTCCCAGCAGTTTAGCATAGTATGTTTTTGTCTTTAGTAGCTGAATTGAGACATTTACCCTGATAGAAAAATCACTAATTATAATTATTGAGGAACCACTTAGAAACTTTACATTTTATAAATATTACTTAGGAAAACCATATGAATTAATTCTTATCACTTAACCGGTTTGAATCCTAACAAAAAGTCAGTAGATATGTTGTAAATACTAAAGGTAAATCCTAAAGTCCATTTTAATTGAAGTTTTGTGATATAAACATAACACAATAATTTAGTGTTCTTAATCTATTCCTAGCTTTCTATAAAATAAAACTGAAATATGTGACATAACTAGTTGTAAAGGGGGAAAGAGCAAAGGGTGTGGGAACCGTGAAGGCAGCAGGCAGGCTGGTGTCTGGTGGTCCTTCACTGTGCGCTCACATCCGCCTGGCAGGGCCCCCGCAAGACTGCAACTGGAGACCAGCTGTTGTTTACCTGAGACTTCAACGTTCTCCTGCACTGGACCATCTAATTCTTAAGTATTTTATGACTAAATATTCCCTTACCTATTTGACATAGATGTGTATTACAAAATATCAGTGTTATGGGTTTGCACCCTTCATGCAACCCAAGAGCTGGGAAAATCCAGGGTCCCACTCGGCAGGACCCTGCACGCAGCCCTGCTGTGTGCAGAGCCTGAGGCCAGACTGTCTCCCTACAAGTCTGCCGGAAGCCGGTCCATCCTTGCTGCTTGACACAGTCGCTGCAGGAAAGAAACATCTGCACAGCATTTGTTTCAAGGGACCTGGCATATATAGCATATTGTTCTTAATATGTTTGCTCTCCTTAGTGCCATGTGTTTTAACCAAGGTCACCTCTCCGAGAAAGGTTGTTTCCCCAGGTGGGGATCTTTCCCTGAGGTTAGGGAGGGGATACAACCCCTTAATTAAGTGCCAGGCGGGTAGTTAAGCTACATAATCTTTACTCCCTGGAATGGAGATAAGAAACGCCCTAACCTTTGTAATAGAAATTGACAGGATTAAAATAGGCTGGTATAAATACGGATGTAACAAGACAATAAACAACACAACCTCATCAGCTCCTCATCAGCTCCTCATCAGATCATCATCAGAACCTCATCAGCTCCTGATCAGACCCTCATCAGAACCTCGTCAGATCCTAACCAGAACCTAGCCAGAGAACATGGCAAAAGATCCTGGACAGAACCTGGCTACAGAACTTCACTGGAGAACCTAGACAGAACATGGCAAAAGAACCTGGTGACTGAACCTGGCTGGAGAACCTGGAGAACCTAGCGAGAGAACATGGCACCAGAACTTGGTTGAAGATCCTGACCAGAACTTCGCTGGAGATCCTGGAGGGAGAACCTCGCTATGCTGATGAACTGAACCCAGTTTCCATGTCATTCATTCTTCGCCGACTCCGTCCACACCTTTGGGGATCCCTGGACCCGTTGGGGCTGGACCCCAACATTGGCGCCCGAACAGGGACCCTTAGGTAAGCCCCCCGCACTCGGGACGGATAGGACTCCACCAGGGTGCTACAGACCCCCCTATAGAGGATAAGTAGGGTAAGAAGGTGGATAGTACAGAACTTAGATTGAGAAGATGTGCCATACTGAGTCCAAAGAAAGAAGACTCTGTATTGATCTTTAGATTAAGAAGATGTGCCATACTGAGTCTAAAGAAAGAAGACTCTGTATTGATCTTTTAACACATATGCTTGCTAGCAGAGGAGTTAAGGTTACGCCCAGTCAGACGGAATGTTTTATACAAGAAGTATGTCCATGCTTTTCTGAGGAAGGAAAGGTGCCAGAAAGGTAAATGTAGAGGCATGGGAAAAGGTAGGCCCAAGGAGCCTTATCCTTAACCCCACTGCAGCCTTTCCACCCCGGAAAAGTGCAGGATTGGCAAGCTCTCCCTGGGGTGATAGATCAGGACTCAGGTAATAGTGGAAAGCGCCAATCCTACTCTTAAAATGGATACAAGAGAGCATTTAGGGTTTTTCTTTTTAATGCCTGCCTTGGATTGAGTAAATGCATTACGTGCGTCACCACAATGGACCCAGAGGAGCTCCTTGTCCCATCGTTCCAAAGACTTAGAGTTGCCCCGAAGACAGAAAAGTGGAAAAAAGAAGAAAAGAAAGGCTATGCAAGGGACTGAGGTGCCAACATGGGGTCAGCTGAAGAAGTTAACAACTGAGGCTCAACAGATGGTAGAAAATCAAGAAGTGGAAGCTACTCTCTCAGCCAAGTCCAAGGACTCTGAGTAAATCAGCAAAAGAAACTTTCATTTAGCAGAAACTCACTTATTTCGTCAAATGGAAAGACTTACTTACAGGAGCCTGGAAGGGACCTGATGTACTTTTAACCTGGGGGAGAGGAGATGCTTGTATATTTCCACAGGATGCAGACTCACCTGTGTGGATTCCAGACCATCTAATCTGACCTTATGTCACACCACCCTCCATCTCCTCCTCATCCTCCTCCTCCCCGGTATTATCCATATCGGCAGACCCAGAGGGCACAGCTGATTCCTCCCCGGACACTGACACCACCATCAAGCACCGCCCTGATGGACCCTTTGATGCAGCCCTTCAACTCGCTGACACTTCGGGAAGCCCACCACCAATGATGCTGCCCGTAGCCAGATCAACAAGGACAACCAAACCCCCGACTTAAGGACAGCTGAAATCCCTTGACTGAAGAGGCCAGCAACCTTCTACAGGAACGGGCTCCTTGTTCGCTCCATCCACTATGTGTATAGCTATGCTCACTGTCATCACTTGCCAGTCTTCTTCCGAGTCTTAAACAGCCCAATCTGAGAGGTGGCCACTGATTTACATGCGCTATCATTTAAAAAATAAAAAAGGGGGAATTTGCCGGAAGCCGGTCCATCCTTGCTGCTTGACACAGTCGCTGCAGGAAAGAAACATCTGCACAGCATTTGTTTCAAGGGACCTGGCATATATAGCATATTGTTCTTAATATGTTTGCTCTCCTTAGTGCCATGTGTTTTAACCAAGGTCACCTCTCCGAGAAAGGTTGTTTCCCCAGGTGGGGATCTTTCCCTGAGGTTAGGGAGGGGATACAACCCCTTAATTAAGTGCCAGGCGGGTAGTTAAGCTACATAATCTTTACTCCCTGGAATGGAGATAAGAAACGCCCTAACCTTTGTAATAGAAATTGACAGGATTAAAATAGGCTGGTATAAATACGGATGTAACAAGACAATAAACAACACAACCTCATCAGCTCCTCATCAGCTCCTCATCAGATCATCATCAGAACCTCATCAGCTCCTGATCAGACCCTCATCAGAACCTCGTCAGATCCTAACCAGAACCTAGCCAGAGAACATGGCAAAAGATCCTGGACAGAACCTGGCTACAGAACTTCACTGGAGAACCTAGACAGAACATGGCAAAAGAACCTGGTGACTGAACCTGGCTGGAGAACCTGGAGAACCTAGCGAGAGAACATGGCACCAGAACTTGGTTGAAGATCCTGACCAGAACTTCGCTGGAGATCCTGGAGGGAGAACCTCGCTATGCTGATGAACTGAACCCAGTTTCCATGTCATTCATTCTTCGCCGACTCCGTCCACACCTTTGGGGATCCCTGGACCCGTTGGGGCTGGACCCCAACACAAGTCTGAAGTTACTGCATAGAAGGATCTGGTCAAGATGGAACTACCATGCTCTTTATTCTGATTTTCCTCCAGGATTTTAAATAGCTCTACCAAGAACAAGTATTACAGAGTTTTTTAATGAAAAACAATGTTTGGGTGCAGGGTTATCATTATTGTAGATACTGTATACAGCCTTTAAAACCACCTGTTCAATGACCAAAGCTTTGAGAAAGTCATTAAAAGCGAAATGTTGGGTGGGGTTCAATGCTGTCCAAAGCTGTTCTCGCTATCTTCAAGTGTGATGTTGCTTAGTTGTATACAGACATCCCTTTTTGTCACAAAAATTCCTATAGTAACTTCTGATTAGTATTTACACTGCTTGCTCTGAAGAATGCACAGGTTATTTTGAAGACAGACAGCTGCTTTAAAACAAGGAAACTGGAGCCACACTGAGCTTAGGTTGTCACACAGTCCTGCGTGAGCACCTACAGGAGAGGGGGCTCGATGGGCCCCCCACGGGGTGGTCGTGTTGAGCTATTCTTTCTGTTGAAAGACTTCAGCGAAGGTAGGCCTCTGCACTTTATAGAGAAGCAAGAATACGTGAAACTTAGGTTCTCAAAAGGGAAAAAGTTCTGCCCGGGTCTTTCCCAGAAGGCAGAACTTGATAGAAATTGACGTGTGAGTTTCCATATTGGGTTTATGTCAAGTTTCCTATGAAATAAACTTTTTATGTATAACACTACATCCATCTCCTTTGTAAAACTCTGAAAATACTTAAATTCCCTTCTCCTTCCTTTGGTGATAAAGGGGTGTCACTGAACTCTGTTTTTTGAAATTGTGTCTCTAAAGGGAAATGTTAAATTCTAAGGCTCCTTAGGACAACGATGAGAACATTTTATTTTCAGGAAAAATAAATGTTGATGGGTTGCATTCTTTTCACTCTAACTGAAAACAGCTTTGAATCCCTGAAGAACTGTCTCAGACTCAGACACACTGGGGAGGGAGTGCGGAGGATGTGGTGAGCCTGAAGGCATCACGCAGGCATCAGCGGGTAGGGAACAGAAAAGACAGCCCCTACACCTCCCTGCAATCAGGCCACAGGCCCTGCTGTAAGCTGCGAGGCTGAAGGGCCCTGGGCTGTAGGAGCCGTTGTTACCAGCAATGAGGGAGAAAAACCTTTCCTCAGAGGCACACTGCGTCCGGGACACACTGGTGCCCGCAGCACCTTCCTCGCTGGGCGGGCAGCGACCCAGCACGCCTTGTCACGTGTAGCTGAGAAAAGGCCATGGGTGGCGCCCAGCCTCCAGGCGCTGCGGGGCAGGCTGGCGCTGTGCCGCTCACCCTCGGGATGAGTCTAACACAGACTTGCTAGGGGACCACCCGGCAGCCGGGACAGGAAGGACCGTGCTCCCTCTCAGGGCTCCATCTGCCTCTGTGGTGAGAGACGGTTATTAGAAATGCATCTCCATGCAAAGTACTTTTCAGGCCCATTTTGTTTCCTGGCCTTATTTCTTTCAGGCAGACTGAGAGTCACAACTGTGTTTTTAAAAAACTGCAGTCCCCTCTTCCTGTGTGTGGCCTGTGCGGGTCCCAGTGCCCAGATGCTGGGTCAGTGAGCGGGTGCCTAGGTCTGGACGCTGTGGCGTGACAACTTCCACGTCACCAGCCAGAGCCTGGGGCCCTTCCCGGTTCTCCCTGCCTTTCCACTTGCCGGACTCGTAAGGAGGGGCTTCTGATCTTAGCTCTTGACAAACCCACACGTTCCCACCATGGCTGCCGCCTGTCACTCCAGGGCTGCCACCACTTCCTGCCACAAATTCAAACTCATTTCTGCCACGTTGGTGCACAAGCTCAGTTTCTAGTGGCAGAGTGCTCTCTGCCGCCTCAGCCCACTGCCGCCAGGAGGCTGCAGGGCGCCTGAGGGCCCGCCGCGTGTGCTCCTGTAGTTAACGCCAGTGTTCGCACGACTGTCTGTCACAGTCACACTGTTCCCACTAACGAGCTTGTCCCACATGTTCCAGGTGCTCACAGACCACAGGTGCGGGTGCACATGGACAGGAGAATAGTTACAGCTGAGAGGGGCTGGCCCACGGTCTCCTTTTCCTTCCTGGGAAAGTGTGGACACTCCCACTGCTTGGTTCGTGCTGGGAGCAGAAGCCCAGAGCAGCGGGCTCCCAATCCCCCACTCCCCCTCCCACAGCCCCTGTGGGCGGCCTGCCTCCACACTGCTCCTTTCCTCAGTGGTTAGGTGGCTGAACTCTTCCTGGGGGTTGGTGCCTGCACGGAGCACACAGAGGGCATTGTACAGCGGAGCTGGCGGCAGGGCCCGGGGACACGCAGGCCGGAGTGAGGCCGCTTTGCTCCCGTCCTGCGCGCTGTCCAGCTGGAGAGCAGGACCGAGCAGCAGGAGGCTCAGGCCTGGCTTGGCCTGCCCGTAGTTGTCACTACGGACGGACACTCAGCGAGGCCAAGGCAGCTCGCACTCTCTGTGGGAGGCTACAGGGGGACCAGCCTGTGTTAGAGGAGACAGCTTCTCAGCCAGCTGAGCATTCCCAGCCTGTTTCCTGGTAACCCCAGCTCGAACCAGGCCCAGGAGAGCAAGTGGGTGAGCAGGAGGGTCCCTTACAGAGGCCGCAGTGACCAGAGGTCTTCCCTGGCCTCTGCCTTTGACTCCCAAACGCTGCACTCAACACGTTTGCTTCCCAGGATTCCCGAGACCTAACCTCAAGGGACAAATGAGCAAAGTGAATGCTCTTTGGACCTATTCAAAAGCATCACAGATTTCAGACCCTCCCAGCACAGTCTGGAGGCAGATGGAGCTGGACTCCATGCGTGACCTGCCCAGAACCTCGGGGGCGAGTTCTCTGAAGGAAGGCCACGAAGCCACAGTGCCCAGACGGCCTGCAGAGCCAGGATGTGCATGGAAACAGGGGTCCCCATAGTTCTGTGCACTCCAGGAATCCTGCACGTGACACAGAAAGTCACAATCCTTTATAGAAACACCGTGAATCTGCGTCCCAAGGGATGTCAGTAGGTAGGATTAGGAAACAGAGCTAACATTCTCTTACTTTTAAAAACATGGACAGGTTTGGGTTAAGACTCTTAAAACTGGAGAGCAGGGCAGACTCATGCCAGCAGAGAGCTCCGAGTCTATCGCGTGAGAAGACACACACAAGGGCTCTTGCCCGGGCCTTCTCAGGACTCTTCCCAGATGAGCTGGCTCACTCCTTTAATCTAGAAACTGAGCAAGATGATCCCTACAATCACCCCCAAGCCCTGTGCACCCAGAGACCGTCAGCCCCGCTCGAGCACTAAGAGAGCGAAAGCAGGCTCTTGGCCTCGGATCCCGGCCGTGAGGCAGCGCCCGGCTCCACCCCAGCGGCCCACCTTGCTCCTAAGGCAGCAGTGGTCCCGCCTGGTGTTATACTCCTCCTCTTAGGGTTAATGGTTTTCATGGGTCCATAATAGAAACTCCAATTTACGATCTTTTCAAGAAGTGCTGTACAGCAGCAGGCGCCAACCAGTGGTCTGCGGGCCACTGGGGGTCCGGGAGGTCCGAAAGGTTGGCGACCGCTGCTGTAGAGTGTTTTGTGGTAGTTAAAAAGGTCTTACTCAACTTGTTAAAAAAACAGAACTATTAGTATAGGTTTACTTTAGGTTTTCTAAATGCTAAAAGGGAACTCTTCAGACCTTAGATTAATTAAATTAGAGTTAAGAACACAAAATGGGCAATTTCCATCTGATTTGGACATCCTCTGCACTTTCTTCCTGACTTAACAGAGGGGTCTTGTCTTCTCTTAGCCTTTTCCAAAGCCATCTGAGGTTTCTTTTCAGAGGGAATTCATCATTATTTGCAATTGCAGTCTGAAACCCCAGGCCACAGGTCCACAGCCAACTAGTTATGGAAAGACAGGGTGACTGGTGACCAAGGAAAGAGTGAGCGTAGGAAGGAATGAGAGGGTGGGGTTTTGTGCCAGATTTAATAAAAAACAGACAAAACCAGGAAAAGCTGTTCCGACATCTTCAAGGTTGTGAAAAGTTTACCACAAACACCCGGGTGTGGTTCTAGCTGCATCAGTGGGACGGGTACCAAATGCTGGCCTCCTCCCAAGCTCACAGGTGGAGCCAAGGCCACACACCGCACCCGGCTGCCCAGCTCCTGCAGGCCAGCGAGCTGTCAGGGCTGCGATCCAGCCAAACCACAACCCAGTGCTGTCCCCCCAAGCGACCAGCGTGCGGCAGAGCGGGCCACGCGCAGTGCACTCAGCTCACGAGGCAGAGCTAGCTTATCTATCGGCTGCCGGGCCTTAATACTGACATGAGGGAGGGAGGCGGGCCACAGTGGGAAGGGATTCCAACACAGAGCCAGCTGAAGCAGATGGCCCTCTCCACCCCTTGGCTTACTGTAGATCACCATGGAAACAAGCTTGGATAAAGACAACAGGAAGTTCCATCAACACAGCGGGGAACAGCGTGAACAACCCATAAACCTGTCTCTCATGCATCCATACCCACAGTTAACAATGACAATAATAACAATAATAATAAAAAGTAAAGGTACAGACGGAAAGTAGCATTCGGGTTGTGCAGCCACAAGCTGGGAAGGGTGTGTGTTCAAATTGAACGGGACACAGTCAATCTTTCTTCAAGTCCCTGGATTCAAAGAGCTTCAGGCGTTCCTGCACCGTCAGGCCTTCCTTCAGACTCTGGGTGGAGAGCAGGAGAAAACAGTTAAACTCAGTCCCCGTGCTGGGTGCCAGCCGCAGCACAGGCAGGGGTAGGGTGGGGAGGTCCTCAGAGATTAGTGGGCATGCTAAGGAGAGCCCGTCTCCTGTGAGATGTGTTATCTGGATGAGAAAGGAAAAAAAATCAGAAAAACAAGTCCATGAGCATAGAAGATGAATTCTGAGCTTAGGGCTCTTTAGGGAAGCAGCGATCAGACCGATTCAGCCAGGAGAAGATTGTGCCAAGAACTAGAAAACCACCCGTCTACATCCTTCTCCCGACCGTGAACCTGCCGTCTACCAAGGCCTCGTGCGGGACGACCAGAGCCTCTGGAGCACCACGGTGGAGCGCGGCTCCTCGCCCTCCCTGAGGGGAACCCTGCTGCATTTACTATCGAGGGATCTGGGAGCATGTCAACATAGCTACTAAGATTCTCAAATGTGAAACCAATACCCTTCTTGTGGGACCCTGGGAAAGTGTCCATCTGTGGGGCCTGATGTGAGTGACACTACTCTTGGAGGCTTTCCCCAAAGATTTAATTTCTGGATGAGGAAAGGGATGGAGTTCCAGCCCCGGCGAGATGGGCTGGGCTCCTTAGCTGCCTCTGATCTTGCCGCAAACCTCATCAGGCCCAGAGCTGCCGTTGCCCAGCTCCCTGGCTGGAGGTGACAAAAGCCCAGGCCTCACAAGACAGGAGCCAGGTGGCCGGGCGCAGGTGCAGGGGAGCCACCAGCTTCAGCCAGAACTGGGGTGGGTCCTGGGGCCTGGAGAGTCCAGCCTGAAGCTTCAGAGCGGGTGTGGTGAGAATCTGGGGACCCAGCTTCCTTCAGAGTTTGAGGGAGTGGGTGGGCCCTGCTGTCCCGTTTCGCCCAGAACAGCTCTGCATGCTGCTACCCTGTGGAGCTGTGTGTGTGTAAATGAGTGATTTTCTTTTAAGTGAAGGGTGCTGCTGCTGACCTTTCTGAAACTCCTGTCCAGACGGGCCTCTGTGTGAGCAGTGGTGAGGGGCATGAAGTGGCCGCTGAGCAGGGCAGAGGGTGAGGACCGACCCCCATCCCACCCCACCCGGGCTTCCTGCTCTCGAGGCTCTTCTCCCGTCAGGAGCTGCTGTGTGCAGAGCCGGTCTCAGGGTGGTGCTGTGCTGGCCACACAGCTCTGCCCCAGCTGGGACTTTCCCGTGAGGCAGCAGTGCACTCCACTCCTCAGACCCCAGGGACAGCCCCTGCTGTGCTAGGGACAGGAAGGCAGGGAGCAGTAGCATGATGGGCAGCCTGAGGCTACAGCAGGCCCAAGGCCACGCACCGTGCACACTCCAGATGTTAAAGGTCCATCTCCAACCCCAGAGGAAGGCCCTCGGGTGCTGGCTCCCTTGGGGCTCATTCTCCCACAGGGCCAATCCTTCGCGGGATACTTCCATGACCCCACACTGACACCACCAGACGGTCTCCAGAGGCCCCTGGGGAAGGTGCTTTCTAGCTGCAATCCCAGAAAAGCTGGCTGTTCTTAAGCAACAAGCTTGCTTTGACTTTATGGTGCTGAGATGTCACACTTCTGTGTGAGGGACAATGCAGAAACAGCATGAATGAAAGATACAAATCCATACACGTCAGATCCCATATCAGAAGCACCAGTGACAGATGCAGTTTCTAGATGACCTCATGCCCGTGGAGGCAGGGTGTCTGCAGATGCAGCGGCGGGAACCGTGGGAGAGGAGCAGCACGCCCTCGTGCCTGGGACCACAGGAGTCCTCGAGGACACCCCACGGCCCCTCCTCCCTCTTGGGCAGCAGGACTGCCTTCACACAAGGGCCTGCTTCCTATTCTGAAAACACGGCCAAGCCCCCTGTGGGCTCAGACGGGCTCTGGGAGCCCGAACAGCTAGCTCCTGGCCAGCCTGACAGGTTCCCAGTGTGCCCTGCTGCAAAGGCCTCGTGGACAAAGGCCTTGTCAGTGATTTTCTGGCCTTTTGTCCAGAGCCCAGGGGTTCCCCCACCCCACCCACCCTGCCAGGTGGGCACATGCAGCACGCTTCCCCAGAAGGGCCTGGCAGAAGCTTCTTGTTGCCCATTATTGACAGGCGCAGGGAACCCAGTAGCTGCAGTTAAGCCTCAAATGAGTAGAATCTTCAGTGAGAAAACCATAAACCAAGAACAAGTTTTCCTTTTGCTAAAAAATATTTTTCATGTTTAAATAAAAAAGCCCAAACTAAGTTTTCAATTAAACCTAAACTGCATTTGGTCCCAAGTGGCTCATGACTGTAGAAGAATAAACAAAAGCAAACTGAGTCTAACAGACATGGGTTTTCCAAAGCTCTTCCTAGGAGCAGCCTCTTCCCCAGCCCGGGCGGGGCCTCTCAGCCAGCAAAGGCGCTGGCTCCAGGGCGGGGGGCCTGAGGCCACACCAGTGTCCCCATGAACCCGGCCCGACCAGGTCTTCCTGCTGCCCAGGCCTCCTCACCAGGGAGTAAGAGGTTACACCAGCCAAGCCACTGAGCACTCCAGACTAGAGCGAGGGATGTGCCCTCCTGTGAAGACTGGGTGCCCAGGCTGGGTCCCCTGTCCTGGTCATCGCTAAGCAGACTACTATGTCTCCTGCCTCCCCACCTCCTCCTCGTATGGCACTGTATTTACCGGGACCCAGGGAAAAGCTTTTGCTTTGCTAGAAAGTGTGCTGGTAGAGCACCCCAGGAACACGTGATCCTCCTGCTCTACTGAGCTGGGTCCCTGTTCCACCTGAGATCAGCTCCCCCCGCACATCCCACAGGGCCGTCTCGGCCTGGCCGTACGCCGGAGGGGGCTCTGCAGCACTGGGAGACTGTGTGGCAGTGGCTTCTGGGCAAGAGGGTTCTCTAGAGAGTGTGGAGTGCAGAGCATTCAGCATGCATGCTGACCGGGCGCGAGCCCCCCACGGTATTGGCTCTGTGGGCCGCTCGCCACGCTGGGAGGGGAGCTCCCCAGTGCCGGGGTCAACTCTCTTAGGAGGTTATAGTGCCAGTGAACTCCCAGAACAGGTCAGAGACACGCCCCTGGGACTGTGTCTGTGCTCGCTGCGGCAGCAGGAATAATAAAGGCACAGGGAACAAGGAGCTTGCTATGGAGGTGTGAGCCGTGCATGCAGGCAGCGCCCTCGGCAGGCGGCGGGTGGGTGGATGCTGAGAGGTGGTTTACCTACATGACAAGGGACCTGGAAGCGGGCTCGTTTCAGTTATCCCATGAGACCTGCTCAATTACGGACTGTCAGAGGAAAGAGCAAACAGTAAGACACACTCAATAAATCCCGAATGCAACATGCTCAACTCCCACCCCTGCCCGCCCTGCCCTGGAGAGGCGCACGGGGCAGGGAATGGATGCTGGGGATTTGCACTGTGAGGCTGAGGGGAGGGTGCAGGCGGCTTCCTTTCTCAAAGGCAGGCAGCGTCAGCACTAAACTAGGGTGTGCAACAAACTGCAGACAGGAGGGGCCGCACCAGGAGGGGACAGGTGGGGACAGGTGGAATCTGGCCCTGGAGGTCCATGCTGGGATTTACTCCACCCCAGGCCCTTTGACGGTCACGGTAGGAGTTGGTTCCACTGCTGCACAAAGGACCCCTGAAGCCCGAAGCCACCAGAACTGGCCCAGCAAGGGCCATCGTGGGGGCTAGGCATGTTCTGGGACCTGGGGACCCCCTGCTGCTGCCTGTCGTGGGCTCGGACTCCTGCTCCTCTTCCCAGCATCTTGAGCCCCACACACCCGGGCTGGGTCCCAGACTCACCTTGGACCTGATGTTTCTGAGTTGCCGACTGACAGAGGATCTGTCCTTTTTCAAGAAGTCAGGGTTGCTTTTAGATTTCATTATATCTGAAGGAACAAGTAGACCCATTACTTTGTTTTCTAGAGCCCTCTGGAACCAGACTAGAACTTTAAAAATTTCCCAGGCTGAGTCCTAGCCAGTCTGGCTCAGTGGATAGAGCATCGGCCTGCAAACTGAAGGGTCCTGGGTTCGATTCCGGTCAAGGGCACATACCTCGGTTGCAGGCTCCTTCCTGGCCCTGCTCCAGGCCCATGCAGGAGGCAACCAGTTGATGTGTTTCTTTCACATCAGTGTTTCTCTCTGTTTTTCTCTCTCTCTTCCACTCTCTCTAAAATGGAAAAATATCGAGTGAGGATTTAAAAAAAATTTTCCCCAGTGTGGGACTGACTGCAGGCGAAGCCATGCTATGTGGGTGGGTGGGCACCGCACTCTGGAGCCCCTGACCCACGGAGCAGACCAACAGTCCCCATTAGTCATTTATCCCACCTTTCTTCTGAGATCCCAGGACCAACTCCTTCTCATAAGCCACTCCTCCAGGACAACCACCACTGGCAGTCTGGTGCGCAGTTCTTTAGAGTTCTTAAAAATGATGACTTAAGCCCTGGCCAGTGTTGCTCAGAGGTTAGCCCACACTCAGAAGAGTCACAGGTTTGATTCCTGGTCAACGGCGTGTACCTGGGTTGCAGGTTCGATCCCGGCCCTTGTTGGGTTATATGCAGGAGGCAACCAATTGATGTGTCTCTCTCACATCGATGTTTCTCTCTCTTTCCCTCCCCACTTCTCCTCCCTTCTACTCTCTCTAAAAAAAAAGGAAAAAATATCCTCAGGTGAAGATTAACAACAAAAAATAAATAAAATGACTACTTAAAACAGATATACATTGGGTCATACCATATGTCTTGTGTGTGTTTTTCTTTTCTTTAAAAAAAATTTTTTTTTTATTGATTTTTTACAGAGAGGAGGGGGGAGGGATAGAGAGTTATAAACATCAATGAGAGAGAAACATCGATCAGCTGCCTCCTGCACACCCCCTACTGGGGATGTGCCTGCAACCGAGGTACATGCCCCTAATTGGAATCGAACCCGGGACCTTTCACTCCGCAGGTCGACGCTCTATCCACTGAGCCAAACCGGCTAGGGCTTGTGTGTATTTTTCTTAAAAATATATTTATTGATCTCTGTCCATGTCAAAACAAAAGATCTGCCTGATCTTTTTATCTTTTAACTTTGGTTAATGTACATTGCATGTTTCAGGTGTTCAACCCAGCAGACATTCTGTAATTTATGACGTGATCAGCTCAATAAATCTAGTACCCATCTGTCACCATGCACAGTTATGACAATATTATTGACTCTTCTCTATACTATACGTCACATCCCGTGACTATCCTGTAACTACCAATTTGTACTTCTTAATCCCGTCCCTTTTCACCCACCCCCAAACCCCCTCTCCCAACTGGCAACCATCAAAATGGTCTCTGTATCTATGAGTCTGTTTCTGTTAAGTTTATTCATTCCTTTATTTTTTAGATTCCACATATAAGTGAAATCATATGGAATTTGACTTTCTCTGTCTGACTTATTTCATTCAGCATAATACCCTCTAGGTCCATCTATGTTGATGCAGATGGCAAGATTCCATTCTTTTTCATGGCTGAGTCATATTGCACTATGTTGGCACTACCTCTTTATCTGCTCATCCACTGATGGACACTGAGGTTGCTTCCACGGCTTGGCTACTGTACATAATGCTGCAATAGACATCTGAATGCATGTCTTTTCGAGTTAGTGTTTTGTATTTCTTCAGATAAATACCCAGAAGTAGACTTGCTGGGTCCCTCTTTGTCTCTTGTTACAGCCTTTGTTTTAAAGTCTATTATGTCTGGTATAAGTATTGCTACCACAGCTTTTTCCTTTTTCGTTTCCATTTTCATGAAATAGCTTTTCTATACCTTTATTTTCAGTTTGTATGTGTGTCATTCAATCTGAAGTTTCTTGTAGACAGAATATGTAAGGCTCTTGTTTTGTTATCCATTCAGTCACTGTATGTCTTTTGATTTAATCAATTTGTACTTAAATTACTGATAGGTATGTATTTATTGCCATTTTATTACACTTTTATGTTTTTTTTTTTCTTCTTAAAGAAGACCCTTTAACATTTCTTGTAACACTGGTTTGGTGGTGATGAACTCCTTTAGCTTTTTCTTGCCTAGGAAGCTCTTTATCTGTCCCTCAATTCCAAATGAAATGAGAGCTTTGCTGGGTAGAGTAATCTTAGTTGTAGCTTCTTGCTTTTCATCACTATGAATATTTCTTGCCTCTCCCTTCTGGCCTGGAAAGTTGCTGTTGAGAAATCAGCTGACAGTTGTATGGGAGCTCCCTTGAAATTAACTGATTCTCTTGCTGCTTCTAGGATTCTCTTTGTCTTTAACAACTGGCATTTTAATGATGGGTGTGTCTTGATGTGGGCCTCTTTGGAGTCATCTTGTTGGGGGACTCTCTGTGCCTCCTGGACCTGTATGTTTGTTTCCTTCACCAGGTAGGGGGAAGCTTCCTGTCCTTTTTTCAAGCAGGTTTTCCATTCTGTGTGCTCTCGCTCTCGCTCCCCCTCTGGCGCCCATGACGTGATGTATGCTTGACATTGTCCCAGAGGCTGCTTATACTATCCTAATTTTTTTGGATTCCTTTTTCTTTTTGCTGTTCTGATTGGGCTGTGAGGACTGGCTGGGACTACAGCAGAGGAGTTGCTGTGCAGGGGCCAACTCCACAGAGCGAGACTTGCTGCAGCAGGGTTCTGGTGCCTAATGAGTCCTCCCCTTGTGTGTGTTGCCTGTGGAGATGGTAGGGTGTTGCTCCAGTGTGGTCTTAAGAGGACTACCAGCTGCACTGGCGCTGGGGCCTCCTGGGACATGCAGGTCCAGATCAGCTGTCACCTGTGCCCTGCCGGGGCCACTTGGCAGGAGCTGTAGAGTGATGTGCAGAGAGCTACTGCTTGTGCTGGGCTGGAGGTGCCTGGAGAGACCATGCTGCACAGCCGGGCCAGCTGTGGCCAGTACCATGCATGGGGCCACTGAGCAAGAGGTATGGGGCACGCTGAGGCCAGATACTGCTGTTTGGTGTTGGTGAACTTTTGAGACTCTTTAGCAAAGTCTGCATCATGAGCCAAAACAGGCCGTTTCTATGGAAAAGCTACTGGAAACAGCTAGGGTGGACTTGCAGATGGGGTGGGGTAGGGTCTCAGGGAATCACCGGGGGAGGGGAACTGCCAGATGGAGGAAGCGCAGATATGGTGCAAGCCTGCCGGCTCTGTGGAGGGAGGCCTGAGCTAAGGAACAATGGCCTCGGCCAGCAGTTCTGTGTGGAACAAAGCTGCCCCTCCAACTCTAGCCCCAAAGCCAAACAATTCAGGTCCTTCCCATATGTCCTGGCACCGTTCGAGCTGCTGCCCCAGCAATGGAGTTCAGAGTGAGTGAGTTTGAGTAAGTCTGTTTGGGCCCTTTAAGAATACTCGGGACTTTAGCAGCCTCCATCTCACTCAGCCACCATCCCCACTGGTTTCCACGGCTGGAAGTTATGAGGCTTCTCTTTCTAGCTCTGGAACCCTGGGTCTGAGAGCCTGGAGGGGCTGGGACCCCTCACTCCTCAGGGGCACCTGCAAAACTGAGATATCCCTCCCAATACTGAACCGCCACAAGTGGGTGTGGGTCCTGCCCCTTCTGCATCTCTGCCCGTCCTACCAGTCTCAATGTGGCGTCCTTATATCTTTATTTACAGGGCTTCTGTTCAGTTAGATTGCAGGCGGTTCTGAATAATGGCTGTTCTGTAGTTCAACTGTGGTTTGATATGGTTGTGGGAGGGGATCCGCAGTCACCTACGCCACCATCCTCACCAGAGGCCCCTTTACCTGACCTCCTTTAAGAACTGCATTGCATTCCATTGTGTCGTGACGTCATGGCTGATAGAACTCTGTTTGAGGACGAGGGGACTGTCCGGTGGAGTCAGGGTTTGCTCCTGTACACAGTGCTAGACATCTTGCTGGCACGTGCCATGCACTTGCTTTTTCCAGAAGTTGAATTGGTAGGTCACCAAATGCACATGTTCTCCCCTAGTTCTGTCCTCTTCTCTGTCTCCTGGCTGCCTGGGGCTCCCCTGAGCAGCAGCCACTGCTACCAGAGTCAGCCTATAGTTTGATTTTAAATTTTGCTACATATTGCTTCACTGCCTTCCAGAAAGTGCTACCTTATCCTTCCAGCAGCAATGCAAGCGACTTTTCTCCACCCATCCATCAATACTGTCGCTATCATGAATGCTTGGTAGACGAGAGGAAAAAGTTAAATTTCTTGGGTATTAGTGAGCTAGGACATCTTTCAGCAGGGAGCACCCTCCTTGGCTCCTCCTCCCATGGCCTTCTGCAGATTTTATGGTAAAACTCCAGGATCAAGCAATTAGGGGGAGCCTCTTCCACCAAACTGTTGAGTTCGTTAGGAAAATGGAAAACACACCATGTCATTACAATAAAAATAAATGCCATGTGGCTGCCCCTCAGAGCAGTCAGCACAATGCCTGCCACCAGTGCACCTACAGGAAAAGTTTTTCCCCCAGGCACCGGCCATATCCACGGACCAGCACCCCTCGGGCTGCACCCCGTTGCAAGGAAATATAAGTCTAAAATCAGAAAAATGAAAACCAATTCTCTGCTTTGACTTAAGTCCCAGTAACTCTATGAACAAAGCCCCCAAGTGACCGCGTCACAACCAGAGCAGGAGGAGCTCACCATATCCTGCCACAGGGGTGCTCTCGGGGGACTTGTCACCCAGTGCTTCCGTGGCTGTTTTCAGCTGCTCTTTCAACCTGCTGATGTCGCAGTCGGCCTTTGCCCGCACGATGCTGAGCTCCTTGTAGATGTCCTTGTACTTGTCACTGGCATACTTCTTGTCCTTGAGAAGAAAAGGACAGACCAACGGTGGTGACAACCAGGCCAGGAGGTCTGTCTCGCTGGGGCTGGAACACTTCTGGGGACTGACTGAGGAATGTCATTGGCAGAGGAGGAGGCAGGTTGGCAGGTGGGCCCTGCCTGTTCTTCCAAAGGCAGAAACTAGACACAAACTAAAAGAGGCAGGGCCGAGACTCACTCTGAACACAGCACAGGATCGCCGGGGCTGCTGTAGGTGCAGGCAGGGTGCAGGCTGCAACCTAACCCCCAAGGACCACCCTATGACGTCAGCCTGGAACCCCCTCTGTCTTAGATTCCCTCAGGGATCCTGGCATCTCTTCTGATTCCAAGAATGCCCTGGAGGGGACGGCAGCTGGCCACACTCTCACTTCCCAGGATGACATCTCTCTCAGGTCTCACCGTGTCACAAAGCACAAAGAAGGCAGGGAGAACAAGGACACAGCAAGACCGGGGGCGCCTCATTTTTACGGTGCCTGCATGAAGGCTGGTTTTTCAGAGAACTCAAGTATCAGACCACATTCCTCATGAAAATAAAATCTACTCTAGAACAGCCTAAGATACTTGCTGAGCATAGGGACCTCTGTGAGACACGTGTCCCTACACCTCCCCCACCAGCCCATTCTGCAGATCCAACCCTGCGGCGGTGTGCCCATACCCGCAATGCTGTCTGTAGCTCATCCTTGAGAGAGCTGATCTCCTGTTTTAGGTACTGTATTTCTGATTCCTTGACTCGCAATAAAACCTAGAATGAGAGGGCAATTAGGGACTGACATTCAGGAGCAAGAAAGAGCAAAGACTGAAAGTTGAGCAGAGAACTCCCCTCCACACACTGAGGAGTAGACAATTTTTTTCTCATTCTCACCAATTTGCAATTGAAAATGCCAGCAAATAAAGTTGAAACACTGATAACATACAGAAATAGTAAGAAAAGAATTGCTGCAACTCCTAGACCTGGGCCCCCTCTTCCTCAGCCCGGGGGCCACTGCGGTTTCCTGGGACTAAGCCTGCGAGGGTCCGTGAAGGGGTCCTGCTGGAACCTTGTTGAATGCACTCTGCCTCTTCCACATCATTTAGTGGGAGATATTTTCATGATGAAATTTTAATTGAATGGGAAGAAATCTAAGTGCTTTCATAAAAGGATGTCTTATACATAAAAATCAATCATTTTAGCTTAAGATGAACCTACCTGATCTTGAATAATAGTTTTACAGAGTCTCAAGCAGCTACAGTGTCCACATAGTTATTAAACGTTTCATTTCAGGTGGTCATTGTTTGAGGTGTGGCAGAAACAGAGGGAGGAGGGTAGTTGAGTGAGGATGGGGTTAAAGGCCCCCTGGTCTCTCCAGGGGTCCCCCCTCTCCCCTGGGTCCCATGCTGCCTGGAAGCTAACTGTTTTCTCCTGCTGTCCTGGGTGATTTGGATCTTTCCATGTTCTGTCCCTCTTGCTGCCTCCAGGACTCAGCCTGGAATGATTCTGTAAGCTATGGGCCACTCCTTGGTCCCCTCTTAGGGCTTCTGCAGTACAGAGCTGGGCAAAGAGGGGGCCTGGCTCTGAGCAGTACCTCTAACTCATAGGCATCCTTGCCCTGCGTGAGAGGCAAGCCAGCAGCCTCCCCACCAGCGTCCCCTGTCAGCAGTGTCCGTAACCGGGCGATCTCCGCAGCCAGGCGGTTGTTCAGCTCCTGGGGGATAGCAACAACAAAACAGGGACGCTCAGCAGAGATTCTTGGGGGCTGCAATCACACGACACAACCAAGAGAGGTTCTTTCTCACAACACTATGCAGCATGAGCAGTGCTTGTGCACACAACTGCATGTTAGAGCTACTATGTGCAGTGTAACAGCCTGCCGTTCCCATCCCTGTAAAAGCTGTTAAGTGTGGGCTCGGTAGTGTTTTACAGAGCCATGCAGCTGGATTTCATTATCCCGGACCCCTTGTATCACTGTAAGGAGTGCTCATCTGTTTCACGGCTGGTCCCATTTGAGTTTCTACAAGATTAGGTCCTCCTGCTCACTTCCTGTACCTTCTTTCAATCTCAGGACACTGCAGTGACTAAGCGGAACCAGCCCAGTCGGAGTGCCCTCACACGGTGGCCACAGGCCTGTGGAGGTCTTGAGCCTGAGCCAGGCCAACACATGGCTGCTCAGTGCCTGGGGCAGTGGTTCTCAACCTTCCTAATGCCGTGACCCTTTAATACAGTTCCTCATGTTGTGGTGACCCCCAACCATAAAATTATTTTCGTTGCTACTTCATAACTGTAATGTTGCTACTGTTATGAATCGTAATGTAAATATCTGATATGCAGGATGTATTTTCATTGTTCGCGACCCACAGGTTGAGACCCGCTGGCCTGGGGAGATGAGTGGTGAGTCAGGAGGTTGGAGCCCCAGTTTGGTACTCACAGAGCTTTTGTCACACTTAACCCACCTCAAGCCTGTCCATTAGCCAGGACTTTAAATGTACCCCAATTTTCTGAGAAGCAGGCAAATTTTGAAAACGCTCTGACAAAAATAAATGTGAGCAGTGTATGGTCTTGACTGGGAGACACTTAAACACAAGTCTGAGCCTTGGGGATGGGAGACCCAGACGGTGTGATAACCCTGCCAGGCCCTGCCCAGCGATGATGAAGCAGAAATTCAGACGCTCAGGAGAAGAACCTGAGCCACGGGAGGCGAGCCAGCAGCCCCCCACCAGCACCCTGTGAGCAGAGTTCCAATGTAAACAGCAGTTCCTGCAGCGGCTGTCACAGCTCCCCGCCTGCAGTGAGCGTCCCCCCACACGCTGGAGAGGCCTGGCTCCCAGCTCGAACCTGGGCTCCCTTGGCTGTGGGCTCACCTGATTATGGGCATTGAGCTCCTGGTTCTCGCGCTGGCACTGCCGCAGGGCCTGCCGCTCGGCCTCCAGCGCCTGGGCCAGGTGGGCGTTCTCCAGGCACTTCTGCGAGTACTGCTCCGAGAGCACCTCCAGCTCCCGCTGCACTGACTGCAGCTCCTCCCTGCGGAGAGGCACCTCACTCCTCTGCCCTCCCCCAGGCCCAGGCCCAGGCCCCACAAGGGTCCGGGTCCCCCCTGTGAAGCTTGAGGGATGACGAGACAACAGGAAAACTGTTGAGCAACAGAGAACCGCCCTAGCATTTTTGTTGTCTCAGAAAGTTTGTACCCAGCTAAGTAAGAGAAAACTTAAAAAGTACTTCAGGTTCATAAAAATCTATTCTGTGTCCTTCTCTGGTCTTCTTTCAAATAACTCAATAGCCCACAGAAAACACTTCTCTTGTGAAGGCAGGAGAAAGCTCATTTACTCATGTCCTACTTCTGAGCGAAGTCAGGCTTGTAATTTGTTTTCGGCAGTAACTTTTGAGGCAATCTGTGCCTAATAACCCAGTACCAGGCTCTCCTGACCCATAAAAACCAAAGCCTGGCAGTGTTATTCCTGTCACCGTGGGCTCCTCGGGAAGGGCTCCATCTCCCACTGGTGGCACAAGGAGGAGCCTCAGGGCAAGTCGCCCAGCCCTGCGGACCTGTCACCTCTCTAGTCCAGACGAGTATGACCGCAGTCCACAGGGTGCCACCCCTCAGCCAGCCTGACTGCCCTGGGCCCTCTCAGCCCTGAGCAGGAGCCTGGAAGAGGCAGGGACCCTGGTTCTTTTACATCACAAAGATCCTGGCAAAGGCTAGCTCTGCAGGGCTCTCGCAGCAACCAATTCAAGGCTCCAAGTGGCGTGAGCTCCACGAGGGGAAAAATCAGAGCAGCTACGCTGCTGCAGGCCCTCCAGTCTCTTGCGTAGGCAAAGGGAGCCAGCCCACACGCTTCTCTGAAATGGAGGAGCATGGCCACCTCCCCATGCACAGCATGAAGCATCAGACACAGGCCCTAGACCAGATTCCTCCCCCCTCGCTGCTCAGGCAGCAGCAGCTGATGGAGAGAATAAATCCCGGACAGCCTGAGATCAGTCCTGAAAAGCGGCCAGTAGTTATACCATCTCCTTTTTACACCTTATTCTTTAGTAATTAGTTTCTGTGTTTGTTTTTTAGTGACAAGACACCCACGGGGGCCACCAGAGCCAGTGGCTTGCTGAGCCTCACAGGCACTTAGCCCAGCCCCTCAGTGCCAGGGCCTCCACCAATGCCACCTCAGGCCCTGTCTCTGTGTGGCTCCCACAAACACACCGGAAAGGCACCGATTCCCCCCTGAAGGGCTATCCCCACCCTCCCGAGGGCAGGAAGCCGACGTACAGATACTGCCGCCGCAGGGCCTCGATGTCCGAGTTGATGCTGCTGATCTGGGACCGCTGGCTCTTCTCCAACTCACGCTCCATCTCCTCCCGGTGGGCGTTCTTCATGGCTTCGATAGCTGCAGGCAAGGGCACAGGCGTCAGCACTAAGGCTGGGTGGCCAGACAGATATGACAGTTCCCCACAGCTAATGCTTCACCTATCGGCAGTCGGGCTGGCCTCTCCCAAAACCCATTCTCAGGGTGGATGCAGGTTCATTTGTTCTTTTGATGTTAAATGAACACCAAACTGATTAAATAAGTGTTAATTCAAGCCTGAGTTTACAACCCAAGCAAGCTTCCAGGTTAGTGTGTTTCTTCCTGGGTACTAGAATAATAGACCACCGTCAAGTACAATGACATAAAGAGGGCAACTCGAAACCGAGGGCACTGTGAGTTCTCAGAAAGAGCGCACCGGCTCTGTGACAAAGCTCTTTGCCAGGTAGAAGCTACAAAATCTTTGTACTCTGATGTTACAGGCAACTCTGGGCAGAGGTCAAAAGCCCCTAATGGGACTGAGGAAGCTGGGATAGCTGCTCACATGTAACTGGGCGTGTTGGTGGCCACAGAGAGCTGGAGGGCTGGCTCTAGGCTTGCAAGATCTGAAAGAGCTCCTTACACCAGCCTTTTATGCAGAGAGAATTGTCAAAGAATTATTTTCTTGGGGGATCCAAGATAGTGGCAGAGTAGATGCAAGCTACTTCACATCCTCCCTGGTCCAAACTGGAATTATAATTAAATTACAGAACAATAAACCTGAATAACCAACTGAAAACTAGCTGAACAGAAGTCTCATAACCAAGGATTTACACGAGAAACCACGTCAGGCTCGCAGGAAGGGCAGAGACGCAAAAAGGGTGGCCCTGCTCACATGTTGGCCACTGAGAGTCGAAGGGCTCTCTCAGCTGTAGAGGTCCCTCTGAGGAGCACCTCATGGGCACTGAGGGCAGCTCAGAGCCTTTTCCCCAGAGGGGCTGAGTGCTAGGGAGGGTCAGCAACCCCATGCCAGGCTCCCCTGTACAGACCAGGAAGAGGGGCCCACATAAAACCTGGCTATGAAAATCAGTTGGGACTCTGTCTGCCAGGGAGAGAAAAGAGCCCATTAGAAACCCAGGCATCCTCTCCAAGGGCCAGTACACACAGCTTACAGAAGCCATCTTTCCTGGGTGGACACTCCCCTCCATACAGCCTGGGGGAGTGCACGAACCCATTCCCCGGACTCCCTGTCCTGCAGAGCTCATGCCTGCAGAAGAGTCAGCTAGTTGTGGCCAGCCTGGCCTCGGTGCAGACTCTCCTGGTGGCCAGACTGCCCTGACATTGACCTGCAGCAGAGTCCCTCCCTCCCAAAGGCCCCAGAACAAACACACCGGACCACGCAGAGGGAGATCTTGGCAAACAAAAGATGTTGCTGGGCAAATCCTGCTGTGTGGGGCCAGCCCACGCACAGTAGCTGGTACACTGTGGTTGGGGTTGATCCTCATAACTCCACCCATGAATGGGCCAACAATAATCCAAGACTCAACTGCAACAGGAAGGCCCACGTATTCCATAAAAGGCACATTTCTGGAGCACCTAGATCAGGTAACCAGGGAGACGATGCCATTGAGCCCCACAGGGCACCTGCTATGTAAGGCCACCATACCAACCGCAAGGCCTAGCAGATTTACCCAACACACACAAACAACATAAAATATAGAACAGCGGTCGCCAACCTTTCGGACCTCATGGACCACCAGTGGTCTGTGGACCACTGGATGACAACCACTGATATAGAAAACCAGCCAAAGGGGAGACAAAGAAACATGCCCCAATAAAATAACAGGAGAAATCTCCAGGCAAAAAACAAAACAAAAACAAACTATAAAGAAATGGAGATAAGCAATCTACCAGATAAAGAGTTCAAAACAATGGTTATAAAGATGCTCAAAGAACCTAGGGGAAGAATGGATGAACTCAGTGAGAACTTAAAGAGATAGCGAACATAAAAAAGGATGTAGAAATCATAAAATTGAAGCAGGCAGAAATGAAGAATATAATATCTAAAATGAAGAATATACTAGAAGGAATCAACGGGGTTAGATGAAGCAGAGGACCAAATCAGCAATTTGAAAGACAAGGTAGCAGAAAACATTCAAACAAAGCAACAACAAAAAATGAGGATAGTTTAAGGAACCTCTGAGACAACAACAAGCATAATAACATTTGTATCATGGGGGTACCAGAACGACAAGGGAGAGAGCAAGGCATTGAGAACCTATTTGAAGAAATAAAGATTGAAAACTTCCCTAACCTGGTGAAAGAAAATGTCACGCAAGTACAGGAAGCACAGAGTCCCAACCAAGATGAAGCCACAGAGGCCCACACCAAGACATATCATAATTAAAATGGAAAAGGTTAAGACAAAATTAGAGTTCTAAAAGCAGCAAGACAAAGACAGTTACCTACAAGGGAGTTTCCATAAGACTGTCACCTGATTTCTCAACAGAAACATTTCAGACCAGAGGGATTAGCACAAAATATTCAAAGTGATGAAAAGAAAGGACTTACAACCAAGGCTACTCTACCCAGCAAAGCTAACATTTAAGATTGAAGAAAGATAAACAGCTTCCTAGCCCTACCTGGTTTGGCTCGGTGGATAGAGTGTCGGCCTACAGACTGAAGGGTCCCAGGTTTGAGTCTGGTCAAGGGCACATGCCCAGGTTGTGGGCTCAATCCCCAGTGGGGGGCATGATTCTCTCTCATCATTGATGTTTCTACCTCTCTCTCCCTCTTCCTTCCTCTCTGCGCCCCATGCAGCCTGCTGTTCGGTCATTTGGTCTCCCCTCACTAACCCCCCTGGAGGCCTGGTCACCCCATGCTGCCTGCTGCTTGGTTGTTTGGTTGCCCCTCACTAACCCCCCTGCCGGCCTGGTTGCCCCACGCAGCCTGCTGCTCAATCGTACACACACACACACACACACACACACACACACACACTAGAGGCCCAGTGCACAAAATTCATGCACGGGGGGTGGGGGTCCCCTCAGCCTAGCCTGCACCCTCTCCAATCCGGGACCCTTGGGGGATGATATCCCTCTCACAATCTGGGACCACTGGCTCCTAACTGCTCACCT